TCAACAGCATCACTGGCCCAAACACACACAATTTAAATTAAAAGTAATTTTTATATGGATTTAAATTGTAATTTTATATCGTGTATAGTTTTAAATATACATAATTATAATTCAAGTAAAAAAAAATATTTAAGAGCTTTTGAAATTAATCTTGTATAGATTTACTTTAAAAACACTTAAATATTTCTAACATTATTTACATATATAATTTATTTTTCATACAACGTTAAAAGTTTTCTTTGCAAAAATAATATAACAATAGTTGGAAATTAAATATAAAATAACACATAATTATAATTCAAGTAAAAAAAAATATTTAAGAGCTTTTGAAATTAATCTTGTATAGATTTATTTTAAAAACACTTAAATATTTCTAACATTATTTACATATATAATTTATTTTTCATACAACGTTAAGTTTTCTTTGCAAAAATAATATAACAATAGTTGGAAATTAAATATAAAATAATAGTTGGGAGAGTTATTATAATCAGATATGCCAAGACAGTCATAAATCCATAAACAATATTGCATTATGATAAAAAATTATTAATTAAATCCTCATGTGTTCAAGTTATAAACAAATGGTAAATAAAAATTAGGGAAAAAACATAATATGAAACATTTAATTTATATTTTATTTAAATGTATTTAAATTGACTAAAAAAAAAAAACAGACATAACGTTAAACATACATAAAACTACATAAATTATATTGAGAAATGCTCTTCTTCAAACAAAAAGGGCCCAACAAAACAAAACAAACAAACAAAAATAAAAAAGGCAAATAGCATAGATGGCAAAACATTACAGATTGGTTTGTCATTTTTCATTTTCAGCTGATTCTTGATGATGCTACCAAGACTATCACGTCACTTAACAAAACTTTATCTGTTAGCCAGTTAGAAGACTCACTAGCTGACATGTTGATGTCTGACAAGGAAAATTTCCAAACAAATTTCACATAAAAAAGTTTGCAATTAAGCCATAGAATGCATGCACATGAAGAAAAAAAAAACAAGTCTAAAGGTCCTGCAACATTTTAAAGGATATTTTGTGGGTTTAAGTGATCAGATTAGTAAGGAATGTTCCCTAATCCCCATGAAGTCAGCTGGAACCAAGTACTTAAGCATTGCTTGTGACCTGGAGGTCTAGCAATGAGAACTGCTACTGTACATAGAGGTGTTGCATAACTTCTGCATTCCGTAGGGGGTTGGGCTCTTCTGACATGTCTCCACGTATCTTTCGTTTGTGTCTCCTACATGAACAGATGTTTAGATCCACACCTACTGTAAACAGATTTAGCTTTGCTGACCATAAAAAAGACTATCATTTTTCTGGAATGGCGAACATGGGCATAAAATACGTTTGGTGTGCTTGAG